CCCGCCTCGACCAGCTATTGCTCGGTCATATTCCGGAGGGCCTGGGAGTTGGGGAGAACCTCTTTAAGCCTCCCCAGATCCCGGTGCTCTACTTCGCTCAGTCTCGGGACGGTGTTATCGACCCCCCTCGCGGACCACCGAACTCCAAAGCCCCAATCCCTTGCACGGCTGATATAAAAAAAACCTCCCCTTCCACCCTTTATTGTTGGAAGGCCCCCCCCCGACTCGGAAGCCTGCCCAGGCAGATAAAAAATAACCCCCCGGCCCATTGGAGAGACGGTAACAGGAACAGAATAGGTTGAGGGTGGGGGTGATGTTGGCATGATGGCATTCCCCCAGGAACACCACTAGGTAGCGCCAGGAGTTCGGCGCCACCTGGGATGACGAAATCCGCCAAAGGGAGATGCAGGACACAATGAGGGGGTGAAGGGGAAAATGCAAACCCGCCTCCAGGGTGTATAAAGTCAAGGCAAAACCCTTCGGGACTGGGTCATATGCCCGTTCTCCCGATTCGGATGCGCTAAGGATATAGTCCTCCGGGATACCATAACGCTCCCGGAGTCCCCCCAGCGATGACCCACTCACGGAGGAATCTAGGTCATGCGGCCACATCAAGGCCTCGAGGGCCCGCGTCACTTCCCCATCAGAGGATTCAACAGGGGACGGAGGAGAACGTCCCTCCCTGGCTCCGTGGGAAGGGGTAGAAGAGGAGGAAGGAGAGGATGTCATCCTCATTGACCTTAACTGAGGGTGCTACGGGAAAGGAAGGGCGACGCAGGAGGCGAGGAGGATGACTGGAGGGAAGATGGTAAGATCCGAAGGAAGAAAACTCAACAACGAGAGATGGGAACGAAGCCGAGCATTCGCTATTTAAAGGAGATATCCCGCCAGAACTAGCGCCCCTTCGCCTCCCGAGAATGGGCGGCAGCCCACCCGCGCACGTGCGTGACCGTCACGTCACGTCAGAAATGCCAAAAGACGCCTCGCCTTAATGAAAACCTAACGTGGCAACCCCGCTGAAGCGGTAGAGCCCTGATGCCTCGATCTCGACGTCCGAAAGCGTGCGGCAAAAGCAACCAGCTCCCCCTCAGAAAGGAAATCAAATACAGTAGTTTTCGACCCCCGCTGCTGTTAAGTAGGCAAGGAGGGAAAATAGCGTAAGCAGCTTCTCGGGCCTGCCCGCCTGCGTCGTGCTCCTCGGTCGCGTGATGCTCGAGACCACACCTGCACGGCCTGCCCGTCTGCGTCGTGCTTCTCGGCCGCATGATGCCCGAGACCACACCTGCGCAGCCTGCCCGCCTGCGTTGTGCTCCTCGGTCGCATGATGCCCGAGACCACACCTGCGTGGCCAGCCCGCCTACGTCGTGTTCCTCGGCTCCATGC